GGTCTCGAGAAGAGCCGACACTCTGTGGTATGTCTTCCACACGACAACTGGTTTCCCAATCCGTGAGCAGCTCTTCGTCTGCATGTCTCTGACTATTGCAATGAACGGCTCTCTTGTCAACACTTCTATCTCTTTCTTCAGATCTGTCTCTCTTTGGTATCTTAAGAGAGGTATCACTTCGAGTCTTGTCTCTGTTCTGTCTGTATCTGTCAAACCTACCCGTCCTCTCCGGCCTGGTTGTCATAATCGGGTACCATCCTAAGCAAAATCAGTTCAATACACCCGTACTTTACAAGTGAAAACTGGTCATCAGGGCATAAACTTGTGAATCCACTTAGATTTTGAGTATAACTCGCAACCTCCGTAATTTGAATCTCAGTCCGGTTCAAAAATATTTTGATCAACTCATGCCTGTCCTGAGCTTGTATTACATTTTCACTCATCCGGTAGTTAAACACATGGGAAGCCCTCATCAGTTCACTGATCCGATTGCACTCCAACTCATTTAAACCCTTATAATCAGTGAGTACTGGATATATAGGAATAACTGGCAATTGATATGTTTCTTGATTTGTATCATTAGATAAAGATTTCGGTGAATTTGTGACACAGTTTTCAATACCAATTAGTTGTTCAGTATTTGCATTGATAGCCATATCTAATAAATCGTCGATTTCTTGGCCATAATTTTCATCACTAAGTTGTGTCTCATTTGTTGAGTCAGTTGTGGGCAACGATTCGCAAGAATTTATATTTTCGTTCATTTGTGTCAAGTCTTCACGAGTTTCAGTCTCGAGAACCACTTCATCCCTATCCCTGTCTATACTCTCATAGACTTTCAGCAATTCCTGTCATTATTAAAGAAATTAATTTATTACTTAGTATTCAAACAATTATTTATAAATACTTTTCTCATTCCGATGGCAAAACATTTTTCAATCCGACATTTGGAGCAATACTTTCTGGTCATTGGAGTCATTATACACTTTCCATTGGAGGGACATATAAACGTCTATTCAATTA